AAAATCCAAGTTTTTGCAAAACCAGTATCGTAAATTAGCAATATTCGGTTCTTACAAACATGATATGAAAATTTTGATTAAGCCATTAGATAGAGCAAAAAAAGCTATCTATGTGCAACAGTTTTCGGGTTCGTGTCTTAAAATCTAAGGACTCTAGCGTACTTTGAAAAACTCGAAAAATGCGGTTTTTGAAAATCTCGAGTGCTCTAGAAAACCTATAAGGGACCTTGGTAACCCCGATTTATTGATATCAAAACGAAGCTTGAGCAATGGTCACTCGAAATATTTTGATAAGATTTTCTAAATGCATTCCATAGTCGAAATATGCGACTTGGAAAAACCGGGGATTTCTGAAAACCCTATATTGGATGGCCATTTTCTCGGGAACCCTACGCCAGAATTCGCTCAAACTTTTTTATGGGTAGTCCTTAGTGAGTACTAGCTCTGATTAAAATATGAACTCCCGCGTCCTAGAATTGAACAACTTATGAGAACTACATTTTTCAAAAAATACATCTTTTATAGTTAAGGATTTTTCTACTATAATTGCCGAGGAAATCATTTCAGCTACGAATCTTAGGTAACTTTTTATGCTGAACATAAATACACTAATATCTACGTTGGATTGTTATAAAAAACTTTCAATATATCTATATCTATATCTATATACGTATATATATATANTATATAGAGAGAGAGAGAGAGAGAAAGGGAGTGAAAGAATATTGAAGGTGAGATTAGTAAGTTTTAGTAGTACGAGTTTGTTTTTCATAAAATGATTTGTATGCTATAATATATGTTGAAAAAAGCGTTTTCTCATGTTTTTAATGAAGATGATGGGGTTCGTATATGTATTATCATATGTTCTTTGTTTTAGATATACTGATTGATGCCTAACTGTAGTCATCCTACTGCCCATCCTCGTCGTTTACGGGGGGCGGTATTATTTTCAGTGCCCCAAGGAAAGTCACGTATCACGGCTCAGATGGCAACTTCGATCAATAAATGTCTTCGTAAACGATACAAAGGAAAGTTTTTGGCTCTCAATGAAGACAGTTTATTATGCGAAACATGTTTTACTAGAGAACAGCGTCGAACACCTGGTAATAAGAAGAGTATAGTATCTTCACCTGACGACGAGTATAATCAAAACATTTCGTCTGGTTTACTCTCCGATACACCGAGTAACAAAAGATTATGTTTGCCATCAATATCGCTAATTGATCTGATCGAGACGCCTTCATCGTCAGGACTTTCACACAGTACACCAGTGGTTACTGACAACCAGCCAATGATGGATGTGATGCACAATATTTCGTCAACAGATATGTCCTCACCATCTGACATTGAAACAGAGTGCAATTTTATTTCCAAGACGGCTAAGGAACAGTTAAACGGCTTATTAGATGTCTTTAGTTTATCTCCTATCAAAGATGCGTATGTTTTAGCCAATATAGTATTTGAAACTTTCTATACTCTGGTTCAATTCAACATTTTAGACGGCATACTGTCGTGGCGCAAGAAAAATGTCAAATACTTCTGAAAAAGACAAAAATTTTGTCAGATTCTCTAATAAGCTCATCAAGTAGTTCTACAACTGATACCTCAAACGTTAATAGTATTGGCTACGAAGATATGGAACACTTGGTAGCTGGTTTACAAAAATTAGTATTGATGAGCGATCATGCAGAACGAATTCGATTGTTAACGCTGTGTCCACCAACTTGGAGTAGGCGCGATATTTCTAAATTTTTTTCAGTTCTTGAGTGGGATGGCCGTATGGCTAAGGAATTATATGAATCAAGTGGTGTTTTAGCAGCCTATGAAAATAACCAAGATCGTGTTGAAATAACTCCATCCACAATCGAAGCCGTCGTAGCTTATTATCAAGGTAAACTGATTACTATGAGATTAAATGAACTCATAAACTGCTCAAAATTGCATTTTTCCTAGATGACATCATCAGTCGATCCTCATCCAATACAAAAGACACGATCAATGTTAAGCAAAGTGATGGCAAGAAAAAACCCGTATGCTGTAGATACATGATCATGTCTTTAAAAGAGGCGTTCGAGTCGTTTAAGGTATGTAGGAGAATTTAAACCTTTGCCAATGATAAATATTTTTGTCAAACTACTCACTAATTTCATTTTTGAAGAGTAAATATGCGGACCTCAAGATTGGCTACACCAAACTTTTGCTATTTACGCCCTAAGCGGGTGAAATTATCTATAAAAAAGAATATATGTCTATGTCCATTTCACGAAAACTTTAGACTTCTTTTAGTGGTAAGAAAATACTTATAGAAAGAACGTTAAAATGTTAGAATGTTAACCGATTTCTTTCTTAGGCTTTTCCCAGTGTTATACAAGAATCAATTAAATCAAATAGTTTGATAGACAATATTGTTTGCTCTCGAATAAATAGCTCATGCATGTACGGCGATTGTCTGTCGTGTAGAACTAAAATTCCATCAACTGAAATACCAAAGTTATATCCTAAACTTGACTTGGAAGAAGAAGTGAATTGGATGAAATGGGTCAATCTTAATGGTAAAACTGATATTCATCGACTAGGTGGCTCAGTTAGTGATCTGTTGATGGAAATGGATCATCAGTGGTCAAAATTCATTATTCATAGTTATATAACAAATGCTCAATTCGATTACATTCGGAATTTAAAGCAGTCACTCCCACCAGATACGGCTCTTATCCACATGGGTTTTTCTGAAAACTACGTAAGTTTCTCCAATATAACCTAAATATAGTACCTTCAGTGCTTTGATTACATAGAATATTGGTCATTAGATAAACTCATCTCTTATTCTAAGCTCTGGAAGTACAGAATGAAGTAATGAGTAAACATTGGTCAACTGCGCAAGCTGCACTATTTACCATTCAAATTAGAACTAAAATAGAGGTTAGATTAATTCTTGATTAGTATTAATGTGATAGTCGATTAATTCAAATGTCTTCTTCTTTAGATCGTTAATATTGTTATAGTGTCAAACTATTTAAGTCATGACACGATATTTGTATGTTGTGGACAACGAATGATATGCGATTATATTAGAATATTCTATCCACTAATCACGAAAATAGTGTATTTAAGCGACGGGTGTTCAGCTCATTTTAAAAATAACTTTTCAATGTTAAATTTGATAAAACATAATGAGGATTATCAATATAAAGCTGAATGGATTTTTTACTCAGTAAGCTACTCACGATAAAATCCAGATCTATGTCTTACTTATTTGTGCTATTTAGATAAACCAAGGTAAAGGTCCGGTGGATGGCCTAGGGGCCGTTGTTAAGAGTGCTGCTCGCCGTGAAACTATGCGAGCAGATGCTCCACAAAAATCTTTCCTCACACCAGTAGAGTTTTACAAGTTTTTAAAGCAGAAATTCTGCAGTAAACCTAAAAACCCAACACCAAACACATCGGACGTAAGCACGGTAGATATAATAGATACAGAGAAGATCCAAATATGGTACCTAAGTGAAACTGATATCAATCAACATTTTGATAAATATTTGTCTCAACGCTCTGAAACTCGTCCTCCTACCGGGTCCATATTTGGTAAGTGCAATTTAAGAACTAAAGAACTGTCTACCTCTTAATTTATACGTATAAGGTCATATCACCATTTCCAACCAATTGACAGTGCTACAATCCGCTGCAAAATTACTTCTGATTCGCTAATTCACGAAGATTTTTCTATGACGGCATCACGTCAATCAAAATTGACATATGTGAAGCTTGTGATGGTTATCAATGACATTAATATGAATGATTATGTTGCGGTTGAATATCGGGGAGATTGGTGGCTAGCAATGGTTCAAGCGCTAGAAACTAATTTACAGGAACTGCGGGTGAGCTTCCTTCATCCACCTGGTCCGCGAACATCATTTTAATTTCCGCTTCGATTTGATGAGCTCAATATTGAATTGGGAAATGTTATATGCTTGGTCTGTCAACCTCCCAAACTCGGCACTCGCTTCAATTACATGATTCCACAATCTCTATGTGATGAGATTCAACAGTTGCTTGCTGAATTTTGACTGCAAAATCTTTCTAAGCATACAACAGTACTTTATATTTTCATTAATTTAAAAGTTCAATAAAATATGAAGTCTACACAAGAAGAAAAAATGCTCACAAAACTATTTACATCTACTATATTCTTGCCTTCTCTCCCTCACTCCCTCTCTCTCTCTC